CGTTAGGCAATTGGGGTTAAGTGACTTGCCCAGGGTCACACAGCTAGTAAGTGTCAAGTGTTTGGTCTGAGGCCACATTTGAACTTAGGTCCTCCTGACTTTTAGGGCCGGTGGTCTATCCACTGCACCACCTAGCTGCCCCCAATAACTTTTCAAGGGCAGTATATTTATTTATTTATTTATTTAGCTTTTTTTTTTGGTGAGGCAATTGGGGTTAAGTGACTTGCCCAGGGTCACACAGCTAGTAAGTGTCATGTGTCTGAAGGTGTGGGGATCTTTTAAATCATAACTTTGACACTCAATAAAATGCCATAATTTGGTCCTGAATAAGGTAAAAAGTATAAATTTCTCATGCTAATAAAAATTCCTTATTATATCAAAAGCCAAACTGTGTGATTTGTTTTGAAATTTTTGGTTTTAACTTTTTTATAGTTTATATCAATGTGACAAAGATTTGCTTCCAGGAAATGCTTGGTATAAAACTGTAATGGGTTTCATAAATCTCATTTTTAGAGGACTTTTTGTAGATGATATAGGATATTGATCCTTTCTGAGGAGATTACCTGGTATTATTGCCCATAATTTGACTATTAGAAATATTGAAAGCCACATTTTAGGTAAGGTGAATGGAAATGTTCAAAGGGGCAAGGGTACTTTCGTGACCTCTCCAAGGCACGTGGGTATTTTGATAGTATAACAGGGCAAAGCCTGCTTGATAGTGAAGTACTGCCCAACAAATATGTGGCTTTTATTGCTGAGGAAGTCTGGTTTTTTAAAAATAGCATTAACATTTGAGTATCTAAGAGAGATAAAAAGTTTATTTTATTTAAGCATATTCAACAGTGTAAAATGTAGTTTTATCAAATGAATTACAGTAACTATTTTGACAATCCTAATCAAAGTCGTTAGTAGAAGCTGGAGAGGATTTTAAGGACTAAGCAACCCTTGCCCTTTTTTCAGTACACAGGTCTATCATTTTTTTTTAATACTTTCATTTGATTGCCAAACTAGAATGCCTGCTATTGAACATTCCTTTTTTAAAAAATCAAGTTTTATGTTTGAGTTTTTTATTTGTTTTATCTTGGATAGTGTTTCTTTTTATGTATGATACAATTTGAAAAACCATCTTGTGATAGTAATGGCAGCTCACATTTTTATGGTTACAAAGCACTTTTCTCACAATAGATCTAAGGAGTATCATCATCCCCATTTCACAGATGAAAATTTACCTGAAACTTAGTGTCACAGACATGTAGCTAGTAAGTGTCAGAGCTGATACTCAAACCCAAGTCTGGGGTCTTTTTTATTTTTTTTATCCTTTTTTTTATTTTTAGGCAATTGGGGTTAAGTGACTTGCCCAGGGTCACACAGCTAGTAAGTGTCAAGTGTTTGGTCTGAGGCCAGATTTGAACTCAGGTCCTCCTGACTTCAGGGTGGGTGCTCTATCCACTGTGCCACCTAGCTGCTCCCTTAAGGTCTTTTTCTCTATACTTTATCATATTGATGATCTAATCATCATCCCAGACATACAGTGTTATACACCCTGGGCATCTACTTTCTGCTTTGACCAACTCTCAGTCAGAAGACCCCTAGACATTCTAAGTGATTTCATAAAGATTTAGTTGGGAGCTGGTTTGGCACAGGCAATCTGGAACTCCTCCATCTCAGTGTTAGAAACCCAAAAAACACCCTATTTGGACCAAGAGTTCCCTTCTATTCTTAGGGCTGCCTTGTACCCAAAATGAATACCCCATTTTAGCTGTATATTTAAAGACAGTCCCTGGGGTTTGTCCTGGTTCTGATCACTTCTGCCCCGGTAAATAGGTACAATTAGAGCTGTCATGATGGGTAGGGATGTTGAGAGTGAGCACTTTGGGGAACATTCATGCGCTGCGGCATGAGCATTCTTCTGAAAAGAGCCCCCAGTGGGTCTTTTTCACTCAATATTTGAATATACTGGCATCCTACATTAGGATGCCTGATTCTCCTGATAGGAATGCAAGAGGCACAGCACTAAAGGAAACACTAAGGGATGAGTAGAACTGAGGTATTCTAGGATAGCCTAGTGAAAGCCTAAGTTGGCCTAATAAAAAGTTAGACTTAATTGTGAGTCACTTTCAGTTTGCCAAAGTGAGGCAGAACCCAACTAAGCTAATTTTCAGGTTCAGGATTCGGAGTCCTTTTTAAAATTGAGAAATGCTTGCAAATTTCTAAGACCAGCTGCTAGCTAATCAAGAGTTTGGGAATGGAATAGCTGAATGTATATAGACCATTCATATACTTTCTCCACCTGGCTTCCAATAGTACTGTGATACTTGTGAAACCTTGGGAAAGTCATGCCCTGGGCCTCAGTTTCCTTATCTGTAAAATGAAGGAGTTGGATCAGATGGGCTCATGTTGCTTCCAGGCCTAGATCCATGTGCCTCTGTGAATGTTGTGGTGCTGTTCTAGGAAGGGCAGAGTTGGATCCAGAAGGCTGGGCCCAGATTAGCTGCCCTTCCCTCTCTGTCTTTGAAGTGTGTTTCCAGCTGACCAGAGTGATGAGTTCCATTACTGGGTCACTACCTGGGCCCCTCCACCACAAATGCCTAAAACAGTAGTGACTCCAGTGGGAACTACTGAATTGTCTGTCCACTATGGTCAAGTAGCCCAATTGTGACTTCCAAATCTGTGGTTGTTATAATAAATGATCAAAATGGTCATCAATAATGCATTCATAGTTTTAATTAAAAGAAAAATTAAGGCCCTGTCATGAGTTGCATATATTAGCACTTTTAAACTAGTAACTATTGTACCTTTTGTCTTTGTAGTGTTATTTGGGCTTTATACTACTTACAGTTAAAATTGGGTTAACAGCTAATGGGATATTTATTTTTCTTTGTGAAAAAAAGTTTTTTGTTTTTGTTTTTTTGCCATGCCAACACACTGCAAAGAGCTTTAGGAACAGTCTTATTTACTAGGATGATTTTTTTAAAAAAATATGTAAAGCACCTAAATCTACCAGTAATATTTTCTAAGAACTAGAATAGTAATAATACTGTGCTCTAGTGCTTTCTTATTCCAAAATGCTCCCACTTGTTACTATAGTAGAAATAAAGGGTCTGAAAGAGAAAGGATGCTGAGTTCTTCATAACTTTTTGAAGATGGAGTAATATATAGAGAGATATTATTTTGACTCAACTGAGCTCTGAAGGAATGTGGTGTAATGGGGGGAAAAAAAACTCAAACATTGGATTTGGATTCAGAAGACCAAGATTTGAATCTAGCATTGTCACCTTGGCCAAGTCTCTTTACTTCCTGGGCCTAACTTTCCTCATCTGTAAAGATGAAGGGGCTAGATCTTGAAGGTTTTTAAGATCTCTCTAAAGCACTAAAATTCTATGGCCATGTAAGCCTTCTAAGTGCCTTCCCCTTTGGGAGCCTCCGACTCCTTACCTACTTACAATAAAGAAATTGGACTGGGTACATGTTGTTTCCCCTGATAGAAGGCAAGCTCCTTAAGGGCAGGAGTTGTTTCATTTTTGTCTTTATGTTTCTTAACATAGTGCCTGGCAGATAATAGACATATAATGAAGGCGTCTTGATCAGGCAGTTTCCAAGATCCAACTCTTGGTTTGGGGAGCAGCTGCATTCAATCCTTTAGGTTTCTTTATAAGTTTGGAGAGAATATAATTGTAGAGATAATTTGCTAAATATCTAAGATGGCACAGTAGTAATTGCCATCTCTTTTTAGTTCCCAACGGATGAAAGATATAAAATCTAGTTTAGTATCATTTTGCTTAAAATTTATTGCAGGAGGAAATCTAACAGGAGCTGTATTTAATCCAGCTTTGGCCCTTTCACTACATTTCCAGTGCTTTCATGAGTTATTCTTCAGCTATTTAATTGTGTATTGCCTGGCTCCTTCTTTAGGTAAGCACATTTCTATTTCATGTATTTTCAGGAAATGTTGTAACCTTTAATTCTCTTGTCAGGTCTCCGTTTTCTCATAAGCAGGGCTGGAAGAACCCTTAGCATTTAAGGCAGAGGCCAGAGTCCACCTCTGAAATACCAATACTACAACATTTTGTAAGGGCTCTCCCAGTGTAACTTAATATTCTTGTGCATTGCATCTTGTAGCATGTGACTCAAGGAATATCAGAACTGGAAGAGAAGGCCTGGCTTTACGTGCCAGATGATCTCTAAGCTCATATATGCCATGAATGTTTTGTTATACTTCTTGGTGTAGGGAGCATATATCAAGTCCTTAAATTTCTACAAGTTAACATATGTTTAAAGAATGCAGGTATACTTTAACACAAGAAGTAAATGTAGTCTTTAAAAGTATGTAAAGAGAAGTTCTAGTTTACCACTGACTTCAAATATGAGCTTAGAGGCATGGTCTCATGGAAAAAAAGTGTCTCAGAGGTTGGATGAGCAGTGCAACAATGTGCTACTATAGAAAGATGAATGAGCTGGGAGCCTGAACTCCTGGGTCCTGATTCTAGAACTGACACTAAATAGTCTTGTCACCTTGTCACCCTTCTGCTTTGTGGGTCTGATTTCTCATTTGTAAAATGGATGTGTGTCCATTGGGGTGAAAAGTAGAATTTAAGCCCAAGGTTTTAATAAAGCTAGGTGGTGAAGTGGATAGAATATAGTCAGGAAGACTCATCTTCCTGAATTCAAATCTGGCTGCAGATACTTACTAGCTGTGTGGCCATGGACAAGTCACTTAACTCTGTTTACTTCAGTTTCCTCATCTGTAAAATGAACTGCAGAAGGAAATGGAAAATCACGCTAGTCTAGTTGCCAAGAAAACCCCAAATGGGGTCACAAAGAGTCAGATACGAACAAAAAACAATGGAATGACAAAAAGCTAAGAAAGGACGAGAGAAAAAATGGAGGGATCATAGGAATAATACAGTCATTTCAGTTTAAAAATGGAAGAGACAAAAATTCAAGCCCATCAGCTTCTAGAGATTACAGACTAGAAGAATAAAGAGTAGAGATGACAACTCCCAAGCTATATTTTGGTCATTAAAAGAGAGAATAAGTTCATCGTGTGAGTCAGTCATAGTATTACACAATGTTAGAGAGCTGGAAGGGACCCCTGAGAGTGATCAGTCCAGCATTTTCATTTTACAGATGAAGAAACCAAGGCTGAGAAAGGTGACCTGTGTGCCCAAGGTCACACAGCTATTAAGTGGCAGAAGAGGAATTGGAATCCAGATCTTTTGAGCCTTTTGACTCCAACTCTGTTGTTCTTTTTTCCACTCCATACCACCTTTGTCTCCTTTCTGAGCAGAAATATTACAGTTCCCAAATGATCATTTCATTATTTCAGATACATGAGGTTTGAATGATCATCTTCTCCACCCCCTACAAAAATCATTCAAAATGATGTAAACGTAAAGTAACAGAAAATGCATACCAGATCCATCCCTAATTTATGAATTTCATAGCAAGAAAGTCTGGCATTCATTGTTTTCTTAAAATGAGAGATAGTTGACTTTTATAAGACTATTCTTAAATACATCCTAGCAATGACCTCATCAAGAAAACAAAAATAGCCCTGGGGAAGTTAGTAACATGGTCATTGTTTCTAGCTGTTCTTGTTTTGCTTTATGGAGTCCCAAGCTGCAGGATGGACTGATGCTTTCCGGGATGGTGTAGCATCTGAATGCTGTCAGAACCATAAAACTCAATTGCTCCTTTTTTTTTTTAATCAAAGAGCAATCCTGAACTGGCATCCTATAAATTAATTCTACTTTGGTGTGTTGGTACACCATAATGCTTTGTCTGATGTGATTACTGAACTTAAAAAAAAAACCCAAACTACCTAGGTCATATTAGCTTGATGTTGTCTAACCACAAAACCCTTCCCATGACTTAGGATTTATTAATATCTGAGATTCTCAACTTTATGCCTCCCCTAAAGCCAAGCACAGTGTTCTACACACAATAAGCACTGAATAAATGTTTGTTGATTTGATATTCAACATATACTTCTTAAGATTAGAAAATAATTTTTTTTATTTTAAATATAAATATTTTGGGAGCATTTATCTTGTAGGAGTTGGCTCTTCTCCCCTGAACTTGTTGGAAACTTTCAGTCTATATCTGTTGGATAGCACTGTGTTAAATTTAAAAAGAAAATGTGTGTGTGAAAGGGAGTAATCCTAGGACCACCTTGTACTATGTGTGTTTTTGCATGACAGGACTCCTAAGCATTTTCAAAATTGCATATTTAATTCACAGCATCTCTGGGATCAGCAGGGACAAATATCATTGCTCCCTTAAAAGATAGAGACAGAGCTCAACAAGTCAGACTTGGAGCAGAGACTCCTTTGGACTCACAGTTCTTCCCATTACTTTATTATTGGAATCATTTTGGTTCCTATTATAGGTTATTTTAAGGGTTTTGTATTGAAGGAAAATAAAAAAGAACATTCTTGACTTTAGAAATTCTGTAAGCAGCATGTAGTATTGCCATAGAAAATCTTTTATGAATACATATAGTTCTTAAGTATGATTATAGTCTTTTTGATTTTTTAAATGTTATTTTGTCTTTCAGGTATAATGTTGATGGTTTTGATGTTCATCCATTTCCTTCCTTGGCTGCATAACATGAATAGAATTAATAAAGATGAATAGCAATTATCAAAGACTAATACTAAGTTAAATTGCAGTCCAGCTGGATGTGAAGCAGTCACCAAGCTCAATCGCTTCATGTTCTAAATGCCAGTTGCACTTTTCTCCAAATGTCAGATTTCTTTGAGGATGCTGTCTTACAGTTCCCATCACTAAGACGTTTAAAAAAATCAATGTGAAATTGAGGTCTCCTGTGTAAAGACTTGTTCTTTTGAATGATGTATATTAAAATGCTGCTGGAAAGGACTCATTACATTAAATTTAAACTTAAAGTGACAGTTGTTAACCTTTTTCACAAAAGCTAAGCTATAGAGAGGATAGGAGGGGAGAAAAAGAAATAAAAAAGGGAATGAGTATAGTCAAGGGCCATCCAAATTCATATAACTAAGAGCCCTCGCAATCAAAATGCTAGGACATCTGATTGAAATGTCTGTTCTAGAGTTGGGTAGATGCCCCTTTCAGCTACAAACTTGCCATGATGTTGTTAATCACCATCACTGATGTCATCTTCCACTAGAAGACACTCTCTATAGACAGAGGTATGTAAGAACCTCAATAGATTGTGTCCGTATTTTTCAAATAGACCCTAATACAACCTCTGAACCTACTTCAGTATTCCAGTGGTTCATGCTTTCGTCACTTCCACCATCAGAGCTTCTCGCTTCTTTAGTAAATGATTTTGGGAGGTACAGATGGCCAGTCCTCTGTTGACGAACCTCTCCACGTTTAAGAAGGCTAGTTCTCAGACGATAGGCTGTCACGATACTTACTCGTGAAGCTTTTCCATCTTAGTAGGACAGACCTGCAGGAGCTTGTTCTCTGCTGGCATAGCCTTCAAGAATCTGGTGTCACCTTTATGCCAATTGTAGGCATCCAGGATATATTTTTGTGATACTTTTGAACTATGAAGACAGTATAGTTCAGTGGAAGGAGCACTGGATTTTGGAGTCAAGTGATGAACATTCATGTTCTGGCCCCATCACTGACTACCTTGGGCAAGTCACAATATCTCTGGGACTCAGGTCTCTTGCAGCTTTAAGTCTTTGAACCTAAGTGCCTTTTAAACAGAATGAATTCCTCACCAGCTTCCTTCCATCTTGCTGGCTTTCATTTATTTCTTTAATAGGTGATACCATTCAGTTCAAATGAGTGAAAAAGAAAGCTTGGAGAATAGCTTCAAAACTTCTCACCATGATATTTTCATTAGTACATGAATTAATTCTTTAAGACATAACACTGTCTTGGTTGTGCTGGTTCCTGCTGAGCTATTTTCACAGGTAAAACTGAAGAACAAGAAAATGTCTACTGAGTAAGACTCTTTTGCTCACTGATTTAAATTTGTGACAGTCCTAAGGTTCATTCTCCGTAGTTACCAAGCCCTGTCAGTTATATGTGTGTATTTCTCTCATTCAGTCCCTCCTCTTCACTCATGCAGCAAGGACCTCATCCAGGTCTTCATCACCTCCTGCCCAGACTCTTAAAGAGCATGCAAGACTGGTTTCTCTACCCTCTGATCCATCTTGCAAAATAATCCTTCTCATGCACAGTATACAACATGGTTTAGTACTTTTTAATTTTTGTTTTTTGTGAAGCAGTCAGGGTTAAGTGACTTTCCCAGGGTCACACAGCTAGGAAGTGTCAAGTACATCATGGTTTAGTAGGAAGGACATTAAATTTGGAATCAGAGCACCTGGGTCCAAATGCTGGTTCTGATAATTAACTATGGAAGTCTGGGTAAATTGCTTCACGTCCCTGGGCCTCAGTTTTTCATCTATAAAATGGGGAGTTGGGCTAGATGAGCTCTAACATCCATTGCTATTTGAAATGCCATGATGCTCATATCTGACCACCCTACTCCCCTGCTCAAAAACCTACGGCCTCATTTAACCTAAAGGATAAAATACAAACTCTTTACTCTGTTGACGCCTTACATAATTTGGCATCATATCTCCCTTTGGTACCTTCAGAGGACTGCACACCATTTTCCAGTCAAACTGGCTTGCCTGAACCAGCCGTTCCCTCCTCTTGTCCTCTTTCCCAGCTGGGTTTGTGTAGGTCATGCTGCAGACTTTGAAAGTACTTTCTTCATCTCTACCCTGATTCCTCCTTTCCCTTGCCCCAGATCAAGTGACTCATCATGCTCAAATTTTCCTAGGAATTTTCTTCAGACTTCCCCTATTACTCACTACCTTGTGTTTTACTTGTGTATCTGTTTTATCATCCCTGTAGACCACAAGCTCCCTGGGGGAAGGGACTAGCTTTTTTTTTTATCTTTATATCTCCAGCATCTAATGTGGTGCTTGGAACATAAGCAGGCATCTAAAATATTTGCCAAATAGAGCACATCAATTGCCAAATGGTTACTCTGACGTTGCTAAGTGAGTTACCTGCAAATGATAAAATTGTTCAGATATACAAGACACAGTATTAATCAGCGCTTGCTCTGGCCTGCAGATTGATAATGAATTTCTTAGAGTTTGCAGAAAAAGCTTCTGTAAACAAAGCTATACTTTGGTAGTGTTAGGGTCATCTGAGGTAGCCCTTTAATTTGACAGGCAAGATTATCCAAGGTTTTCTATCAGAGAACAGGAGAGCCTGGCTCCTGCCCAATCTTAACAATACACACCCCAATTTGTTTGGGATATGGCATTTGTGCCCAGCAATTTGCCAAGTCATGCCACTAACTTGGTCCATTTGCCTTATTCCCTGTGTTCATTATGAACTCTGTGCACCTCTTATTTCAATAACTTTTTCTCCTTTTGCCATACCTGTGCTTTCATTGGTCTAGGGAGGAACTTCCTCTATCAATGAGATCAGCATCTCTGCCACTTAAAGTCTTAGCTGCCTGGGGGCACTAAAAGTTAAGTGGCTTGCCCAGGGTCACTCAGTATGTGTTGGGGTAGAACTTCCATGCAGGTCTTCCTGGAAGACTTCAAAGACCAGTTCTGAAGCTGCTATTGCCACATTGTTTCTCTTCAGTAATCATTTAAGGTACCTACCGTTTAAGGCCCTATTTAAGGTACATTAAATGCAAACTAATTATAATGTAAACTTAGAAGATAACCATGCCACATGAAGATGAGCTGAAGGAACTGGGGAGTATTTAACCTGGAAAAGGGAAGGCTTGTTGGGAACACCATTGCTGCCTATCTTAAGGGCTGTCACTGTCTTATGAAAGAGGGATTAAATTGTTCTACTTGGGTTCAGAAGGCAAAGGATGAAAAGGATGAAAGTTTCTAACGATTCTGTCAATAAATGAAATGGGCTGCCGTTGGAGATAATAGATGACTACTTGTCAGTGATATTGTAGAAGGGACTCTTGTTCAAGACTAAAAGTCTCTTAGGTCCTCTCCAACTCATGAAGTTTTTTTTAGCACTTAGAAAAGTAATTTTAAATAGCCTTTTCTGGGTTTGCTTTTTGTTAGATGCCCAAAAATTGTCTTTGGCAACTTTGGGATATTGCTTGAATCCTTAGGCAGCCACCTAATAGTTACAAATGAGCTCCTTGAGGGCAGGGATTTTTATGCTTTTCTTTGTACTCCTGGCACTTAGGACAGCACCTGGCACATAACAGGCACTGATTTAATGCTTGCTGACTTGACAAGCTTTTTGAGGGCGAGGACTATGTCTGATCTATCTCAGTATTACCCCTGTTCCTCCTCCTCCTTCCCCTCCCCACCAGTCCTGAGCACAAGGCTCTGCATGTAGTAGAATTTCAGAACTGGAAGTGATTGAAGAGGTCATCTCTTCCAGCCTTCATCTGAAGTAATTTGGATTTCCTAAAACATCCCATACGAGTGATCACTCAGCCTCTGAATGATGAAGCCTTTTGGTATAATGGAAAGATCGCAGGCTTTGGAGTCAGAAGACTTGGGTTTGAACCCCAGGTTTGCCATATGCACTCCTCGTGTGACCTTTGGCAAGTCATCCAGCCTTTCTGGACCTCAGATTAATTAGTATTGGTAAAATGAATAATTACTAAGATTTTAAAATTGATGCTTCTCTCTTGTACTGCATCCCAATGTCCTTAGTACATTTTTTAAAAAATGAATTAAAGGGGCAGCTAGATGGCGCAGTGGATAGAGCACTGGCCCTGGAGTCAGGAGGACTTGAGTTCAAATCCAGCCTCAGGCACATGATACTCACTAGCTGTGTGACCTTGGGCAAGTCACTTAAACCCATTGCCTAGCCAAAACAAATAAACAAAAAAATGAATTAAAAAGCCAAGAAAAGTCCTGAGTATTATATTTGTTTTCTTGGTTAACTGAGTTTATTCAATGCCAATACAAATTTTTAAGAACATATAACTTAAAAAAAGTTATATATATATATGTGTGTGCTTATATATAATAGACACAATATGTATGTACAAATATATGCTATACAAGTATTTAAAGAATATATTAAATTTAACAAAATAGTAAGAAAATTGCCCTGTATCCCCTGCTGAATTTTTTTTTTGTTTTCTATGTATTTTTAAAATGTTTCACTGGTGCTTACTTAAAGCTTTTCCAGCTTAGAAAGATGTGCTTTGTTGGCACAGCCTTCAGGAAAACTGGATCACCCTCATACCACAAGGGGGCATCCAAAGTAGAGCTGCTTTTTTTGGAATAAAAAGTTAAGGAATTGCTGTTTTTATGTAGGTTAATTTCAATGCTTAAGTGACAGTGGTGCTCTAAATAAGAATCAATGTTTAAAAGTACTATACCATGATAAATACAATGGGTCTTGAACAGTTGTAAGACTTTGGTCACAGAATCCCAGAATTGGAAGGGAATCCAGAGGCCAGCCGGTTCAATCCCCACCCCCCCACAATGTAGTCAGCAAATTGTCATTCAGCCTTTGCTTGAAGACTTCCAGGGAGGAGAAACCCATTCCACTTTGGGAAAACTCTTAACTGTTAGTCATTTTCCTTTACATTGAGCCTAAATTTGTTTCCCTAATTCCTTCAACCGATACTCATATTACATGAACTTGGGCCCTTCACCATCCTTGTTTCTCTTCTCTGGACATTCTAGCTCATCAGTTTTCTCCATAAAATGTAGTGTTCAGAACTGACCAGAATACTCCATATGTGATCTGATCAAGGAAAGCCCTGTCACCTCTATAGAAACCGTCACTATGCCTCTCAATGCAGTCCAAGATCATATTGGCTTTTTTAGATGCTGTATTTCACTTTTGACATTGAGTTTTCTGGATACTAAAATCCCCAGATCTTACTCAGACAAATTGC